AAAGAAAAGACCGCGTCAAAGACGCCAAAAAAAAAAAAAAAAAAAAAAAAAAAAAAAAAGGACCACGAATTAGCACATCAGAAAGCATACTTACAAGAATATCAGTATTTTCAAAATAATTCCTCCAGTATGGTCTGATTTTCCTCTGTCCACCAATATCCCATACATTCAGTTTGAAACCCTGTGATTGTACACTTTTGATGTTAAAACCCTGAAACAGACAAAGGCAAAAATACCAAGTTTTCATTTATTTTTTTCTGACAAACTGAATAGGGGTGTGTGTGTGTGTGTGTGTGTGTGTGTGTGTGTGAGTGAGTGTGTGTGTGTGTGTTGGGGATTAAACCCAAGGTCTTGTAGACGCTAAGCACACACTCTACCACTGAGCTACATCCCAGCCCCAACAGCTATGTCCCGTTAACTCTGAAGCACTGTTTGCCAGCCCTAACACTTTTTTTGTGGTGTTGTCGAAGGAACCCAGGGCCTTGTGCACACTAGGCAAGCTCTCTGCCACTTAGCCACAGACGTGACGTTGCAGATACTGAAAACAGCAACTGTGACAGGGAAGAAAACACGTTTATGTGAGCTTCGTTCATCCAGGCTGTAGTCAGTGTTGGTAATGTCAAGTTAACATGTTTTTCTATAACAGAAAAAATATACAAGGGTCAGAGATGTAGCTCAGGTGTAGAGCACTTGCCTAGCATGCCTGAGGCCCTGATCCTCTGCACCACAAGAAAAAACACTCTAGGGCTGTGGATTTAGCTCAGTGGTTCCACCACCTGCCTCACAAGCACAAAGACCTGAGTTCGATCCCCAGTACCAAAAACAAAGGAAAAAAAAAAACACTCTATCTATATATAATATATGTTAAATACAAATGTGTACAGTACCTGTGACTGATATGTGAGAAAACTTGTGATCAACACATATCACACCCCCCATACATCCACAGAATGGTAAATTTAACAGGACATTACCTGGAACTAACAAAAGCTAAATCTGAAGACAACAAAAGAGAACAAAGCTAAGTTTATTTATTTTTGTTGACTGTAACTTAATTTCTGTTATTTAATAGTTGCTTTATGGCTTTAGCATATATTCTGAAATGCTAATTTTATTTTATTTTTTTGAGACATGTAGTCAAGGCTGGCCTCAAATTTGCAGCAGTGATCTTCCTACCTCAGCCTTCCAAGTGCTGAGATTATGGGTGTGCACCACCACACCTGAGTTCAAATGTTAAATCTGAAGAGACCAGAGCCAGATAGGGCGGTGCATACCTATAAGCCCTGCACTCAGGAGGCTGAGCCAGGAGAAGCACCCCAAGTTTGAGGTCAGCCTGGGCTGCATGGTGAGTCGGAGGCCAGCCTGAACTACACATGGAGACCCTGTCTCAAAACATCTTCCCCCGCAAAAAAAGGAAGCCAGAAACAGTACCCCACTTCTGGAAAATAATTTATACCAGCCTTTATGTTCTAGGGAAATAAAAGTCTAGCAGTTCAAAGTTTAAAAGAGTATCAGATTATGTAAAATTAAATTTGTGAAGGATGTACAGTCTCAAACACTATTCAAAAATAAACAACTATGTAAACAAACCCTCCCCAAAAATAAATAAATAAAAATACAAATAATAAATAAAAATAGACACTAGTGACAAATCTAGAAGATTAGATTCTTCACAAGTGTAGCTCAAAATAAATTTCCTGATATGGATTAATCAGAAAAAGAGGAGGCCATAGTGGGGGCTGGGCTGGTCTGGGGTGTGAGCAGGTCTAAGCTCTGAGGGGCAGCCCTCATCACAGACAGTGATGGAATCCAACAGCAAACAAGTGGTTGCCTGAGACTGAGTTTCAGCAGGTGTCCCTGGTGAACTTTTTCAGGACAGTAACTCAAGGCAGAACTCTGAGGGTGATGAGCAAATGAGGATGGCCAGCTGGGACTTAGTCTGGAGAGAAAAAAATTAACAAGACCTTTGGGGCTCAGAGAGAAGGTACTTCATGAGCAAGAGTTAAAAAGCAAAACAAAACAACAAAACCCAAAACCTTATTGCAAGAAAGATAAAGGGAAAGAAAGATTTAAAAATCCCATGGACAGTTTGCTATCACAGGAAAGACATTTCCTCTAGGAGAAAGAGGAAGGACAATTACAAATACAAGCCCAGCTTGGGCAACTTAGGGAGACCCTGTTTAAGAGTAAGAAAAGCAGAGCTGGGGATGCAGCTCCGTGTGAAGGCCCTGGGTCCAATCTCCAGTCCCCCCGCACCAGAGACGCTTCTTGGCACACCTGGCACCTTGCGCACACTGCTACCATGTGGGGGGACAAGGCATGGTGCAGTGCTGCAGACACACAGCCACCCAACTCCCCCGAGGGACAGGCACCAGAGGAAAATCGGAACGGTGCTCACCACCCTCCTCTACACAGTAAAGACCCAGCAGACGGGAAGTTTAGGAACTCGAAAGGGAAGCGGCTTCAGCTTATGAAAAGCACCTCCACTGTGATGTGCTGAGAAAATGACTTCTGTCACTCAACAGTATTAAGTACTGAACCCAGTAATGTCAAATCTTTTCTGGAATGAAGCAAGGAACAGGTAACAGTATCCTGGAATGTGACCATATATATTAACTGCCTTAAATTTCTGTAAGTCATTAGACCAAGCAGAGCTAGCAAACTGTTGTAAGGAAATACTGTAATGAGTGGGAATAAACATTTAGAGATGTGTTAGATGTATACAGCACCACCGAAAGATGCTCATGACTCATCATTAAGTGAAAAAGATGACATATATTCTGTATGAGCTATTTTTAAAAAATTAAATTACCCATTCCACACATACATGCAAGAATACAAAAACCCAAAAAAACCTGAGGCATGGGCCAGAGAGTTAACCGCCTCCCTAACAAGCCCAAGGAGTTAGAGTTCAATCCCTGGTACAAAAAACAAAACAAACAAACAAACGAAACACCTGAGGCAGTGTGCAGTGTGGTATATGCCTATAATCTCAGCATTCTGGGAGGCTGAGGCAGGAAGATCACTGCAAGCAGGAGGATGATGCCAGCTTGGGTAATTTAGCTATTTAGTAAGACCCTATTCCCTGCCCCCCAAAAAGCTAGGGATGCAGCTCAGTGTGAAGGTCCTGGGTTCAATCCCCAGTACCAAAAAATAAATAAATAAATAAATAAAATAAAAAAAACAAAAAAACCCACAAAAAACAATAATAAAACAAAAGCAGCCTGAATGGATACATTTCTAAATGTTAACAGTGGTTCTGTCTGGGTATTATTAGTGATTTCTAGCTTCTCAACTTTATTTACTCTTTCTAAATTTACTATAATGAACATTACTTTTTCTTTAAACAAAAACAAAATACAAAAGTCTGTTCTTCAAAAATAAATAGAAAACTGGGCATGGTGGTGCACACCTGTAATCCTACCACTTGGCAGGCTGAGGCAGGAGGATCACTGCAAGTTCAAGGCCAACCTGGGCTACATAGCAAGACATTCTCAAAAAGCCGGGATGGAAAAATATAGCCCACAATCCTAGCTGCTCAGGAGGCAGAGACAAGTGGATCATAAGTTTGAGGCCAGCCTGGACAATTTAGTAAAACCCTGCCATTACACACACACACACACACACACACACACATTTTTTTTGCACTACTGGGGATTGAACCCAGGATCTCTGCCCTGAGCTACATCCCCAGCCCTATTCTGTTTGTAAATTGTTATTTATTTATTTAATTTTGGTGGGGGGTACTGGGGATGAACTTGGGTCTTTGAGCTTGCAAGGCAGGCGGCAGAATCACTGAGCTAAATCCTCAGCCCAGTTTTTAAATTTTTAGACAAGATTTCACTAAATTGCTAAATTATATAGGTTAGGCTTGAACTTCTAGTCTTCCTGTCTCAGCTACCCAGTGTGCTGGGCTTATAGACATGGACTATCATGCTCAGCTTCAAAGTAAAGTTCAAAGGAGGACCGGGGACATAGCTTAGTGGTAGAGTATTTGCCTGGCACGTTCAAGTTTCTGACTTCAATCCCTAGTACTGTTGAAAAAAAGCCTATTAAAGGCACTTCAATCAAGACCCATTCTGTGGTACCTCTTACCTTATCCTCTGCATTTTGCTTGTTGGCCTTAGGAAAGAAAAAGTGGACGAGGCTTGATTTTAAAAAATAGGTAGTTGTTTTTAACTTTAAAATGATACATATCTGTATATATTAAGTCTGAGAAATACACACTAAAATATTAAGTTGTTATTCCCAGGAAATATTTTAGTTTTTTTTTCTTTTATACTTTGTCTGTAACTTCATAATCAGAGAAGATAAGGATTGTTTTGGGATAAAACCCAGAGGCGTGAGCATGTTAGGTCAAGCACTCTACCACTGAGCTATATCCTTCATAAGGCTATTTTAAAACTGAATATATAGTTCTGGGGGTGTAGCTCAGTAGTAGAAGAATGCTTGCCTAACATATGAGGCTCTGAGTTTAATCCCTAGTAATGAGGAAAAAAAAAAAAAGCCGTGATACCTCCCCATTTACTTATTTTGGATTTTTGAGGCATGCAGTTAGCGCCAGTCTTGAACTCACTATGTAGCCCCACCAAATTGCAACGATCCTCCTGCCTCAGCCTCCCAAGTGCTGGGATCACAGGCATGTGCCACCATGCCCGGCTACCCACCATTTTTATATTTAACTGTGGTAGGTAATATAGGACATAAAACGTACCATTTTAACTGCCTGAAAGTGCAGTTATGGCATTAGTGCACTGACTATATTTGTACTGTGCGCCTCCATTACAGAATTGCTTTCATCCTGCAAATCTGAGGCGGCACCACCATGACATAACGCTCCATGGGCCCCATCCAGCACCAGCAACCTCTTTCTGCCTCTATGAACTGGCTACTCTAAAAATGTCCTCCTGATGGGCTCTGCTCATGCACTGGACCGCTGCTATTTTGAGACTGCAGTCTGTTCACAGACACAGTACCTGGAGTGGACCTGCCATTCCGGCGGCTGCGGGATGTGAAGCTGGCCTGGGGTGGCGCTCACCTGTGTAGGTGTGATATGGCTGATGTCTTCAGAGGCGAGCTGCTTCAGCAGAGTGGTCTTGCCAGCATTATCCAAACCAAGGAGAAGGATTCTCACCTCCTGGTCCGGCGCACTTTTCAACTTGCGCAAAATGGAGAGTAAGCCCTTCGGTTGTAAGGAGACAGAGCACTTTTAGGTACATTGGCTTTGTTATTCTGCACGTCAGAATGACTTCTTCAAAAAGTTCTAGGTTATGGAGAGTTTCCTATTGCTTTCCAGCTGTAATGCCATGCATTCCAATTCCTCCTTCCGGTTTTAGCAGTAATTTACTGTAGTAAATTCAGGAAGTTATAATAATAAGGCCTTAGTCCTAGCACTCAGGAGGCTGAGGCAAAAGGATCCCCATAGTTCCAGGCCAGCCTGAGCTGCATATGGAGACTCTGTCTCAAAACAAAACACAATCTGGGTGCAGTGGCGCACACCTGTAATCCCAGCACTGGGGAGGCTGATAGAAGGGTTGCTGCAAGTTCAAGGCCAGCCTGGGCTGCATAGGAAGACCCTGTTTCAAAAACAAAAAAAGCGAAAAAATCTCCCCCCAACAAGAACATGGCTTTAAAGGATAAACTTGAGTCTTTTTAGGACAACAGAGCACCTTGAGACCATAACATTAAGTGAAATACATCAGACACCTGAGCTTAAATATCACATGGTTCTCTCATATGGGAAACACAAAATATAAATAAAGAGCAAAATAAAAGGCAAACAGGAAGTAGGGAGACAGATCAAATGGGAAAGGGATCAAGAGATGGAGGGAAGGGAGGGGAAGGGGATAAAAAGGAACTGAGATGTATTACATACATGTGCCAACTCCACACAAGCAATGTAAACGTTATGCACTGCAAATATACACTAATGAAAATAAATACTAGCATGGCTTGTTCTTGCTCCTCCTATTAATCTAGTTTAGAAATCTCTAAATCTCCTGCAGGGTGAACTTCTGCCTCTATCTGTACTCTAAAGCCCTTCACATCTACTTGGACTAGGGCTGGAGATTTAGCTCAGTGGTTCCACTACCTGCCTTGAAGGTGAAAGGACCAGAGTTCAATCCCCAGTACCAAAAAAAAAAAAAAAAAAAAAAAAAATGTGTGCGCCATATTCCAGCACTCAGGAGGCTGAGGCAGGAGGATCACTGTGTTCAAGACCAGCCTGGGCTACACAGTGAGTTCCAGATCAGTCTCAACTACATAGTGAGAGTATGTCTCAAAAAAACCAAAAACCAAACCAAAACAAAAAAATAAAACACATCTACTTGGACTAGAGTACTCACATCAGAGTAGGTAACTGATTCTTGTATTCTGCTTTTTTTACTATGGTAAAGATTCTTATGGGTAAGGATTATTGCTCTTGTACTCCACCCTGGCACTTATTACATAAACACTAGATAATAAAAAGGGCATGGTAATCCCTATCCTCAGAAGGCTGAGGCAGGAGGATCACCATTAGTTTGATGCTAGCCTGGGTTTGAAGGCCACCCCAGGTTACACAGTGAGTTTAAGAACAGCCTGAACTGCGTGAGACCCTGTCTCAAAAACAAAAACAAAAGGACGTTAAGTCCCAGGGCCTCATGCATGCTAAGCAAGTGTTCTACCACTGAGTCAAATCCCCAGCCCCAAAATTTTATGCGATAGTTTTGTTCTGTCCTGCAGCTCACAATCTGGGTGTGATCTTCAGGTGTGGCTACAAGAATCAAGCATCCCAGAATTTAAAAGGCATACATTATAATGTAATATACCAGCCAGAACAGAAATCTCTTTCGTCTTAGAACTACATAAAACGGTTGCATTTCTTTTCTGCATTACACCAGGCCATAATTCAGAGCAGTCTGTTCACATGATCAAATAATACTTCTGTGAAATAATCCTCACAGTCGGGCCTTTGAACCACAACATGCATCAGGGGTGCCGGCGCCTCCATCTCTGCACGCCTCAGAGTCCTATCTACTCTGCTGGGGGCGATGCCTGCACTGACCAGGGAAGGGCCACGTTAGCCTCTCTAGGTCTCAGGGTTTCCCAGCAATAAAACACAAGGTTTAGCCCAAGACAGAAAGACAAATTTTATGGCTAAAGATTTAGGAGAGCGAGACCCAGGGCTGGGGATTTAGCTCAGTGGTGCCACCGCCTGCTTTCCTCACAAGTGCAAGGTCCTGAGTTTGATCCCCGGTACAATAAAAAAAAAGAGAGAGAGAGAGAGAGAGAGAGAGACCCAACAGATTTGAAACAAAGGAGATAGGGCATGGCTTTTTTGTTTTGTTTTGTTTTGTTTGCACAGGGTCTGGAATTCACAGTGATCCTCCTGCCTCAGCCTCCTGAGTGCTGGGATTACAGGCATACGCTACCATGCCCGGCTTTTTTTTTTTTTTTTTTTTTTAATGTGATACTGGGTATCAAGCAGGGCAAATGCTCTACCACTGAGTTGCAGCCCCAGCCCTTCCTCACTCTTATTTTGAGACAGGCTGGCTGCTGACTTGCCATCCAAAGCCAAGTATAAATGGGAGTATAGGCATATGCTAATACTGCACACATTTCTTTTTTTTTTATTGAGTTTATTGGTACATTCTAGGTATATAATACAGTTACATTCATGACTGGGATCTTGTACCCTTACATGACAGGTCTTGGTTCTCATTTTCACATTTCTTTTTTTGAAGGGAAAACATATTTATTTATTTGGCACCAGGGATCAAACTCAGGATCTTGCCCTTGCCAGGCAGGTGCTATGCCACTGAGCTATATCTCCAGCCAGGGAAAACATATTTTTGCTTTTGTTGTTACATCTGGCCTTGAATACTTTGACATCCATTCCCTCCTAAAATTATATTTATAAGAAGTCTCCCAGATTTCTATTACCTGTATTGCAATCACATATTCTTTTTGTTTGTTTGTTTTGTTTTGTTTTGAGACAGAGTCTTACTATGTAGTTGAGACTCACCTAGAACTTACTATGTAGCCCAGGCTTGTCTCGAACTCACAGTGATCCTCCTGCCTCAGCCTCTTGAGTGCTGGGATTACGGGCGTGCGCCACCACACCTGGCCGCAATCACCTATTCTGATACCCTCAGCCTAGTGAAATAAACAGGCTAAGACCACACAAAACACATGGTAGTACTCATGCTAAATTCCTGGTTGGACATGAAAAGGGTCTCCTTACTGGTAATAAATCTAAAACAGGTGGACTCTATAAATTTAATATATTAAATGACGTACAGGTATTACTAGTACCATTACTACTAGTGTAGTGATGAAGGAAGATCTGTTAATTAATTTTAAACTTGAAAATATTTTATAGGAGCCTGGAGTGGTGGTACACTCCTGTAGTCCCAGCACTTAGGAGGCTGAGGCAGGAGGATCACCATGAGTTTGAGGCCAGCCTGGACTACCTATCAAGACACTCTCAAAACAATCACTAAGTTAGAGCCAGATGTGGTGGTACATCTGGTACCCCTGGTACTCTGGAAGGCAAAGGCAGGAGCATTTCCAAATTCTATCTCAGTCTGAACAATTCAGCAATTTAGTGAGAACTTGTCTCAAAATAAAAATTCAAAATAGGGGTGGGGAATGTAGCTTAGTGTGAAGGCCCTGAGTTCAATTCCCAGTACAAAAAAGAAAAGATCACTAAGTAAAAATTCTGTTACCTGTAAGCTGAGAGTTTTTATACACTCATTGTATTTTAAATTGAATAATTATAAGAAAAACAATTTCTATTCATCTTAAAAGAAAAAGAGGGGGGCTGAGGATTTAGCTCAGAGGTTCCACCGCCTGCCTCACAAGCACAATGACCTGAGTTCAATCTCTGGTACCAAAAAAAAAAAAAAGAGAGAGAGAGAGAAGCAAAGCACAGATGAGAAAGAAATCATTCCAACTAAAACTTTATTAACCTAATGGCATAGTAGTGAATATAGTACTTCTACATTTCTAGTGAATAATCTTCCTTACTAGAAAACAGTAATGTCAGATACTTCACCTTTAAGTGAAATTACACAGAAAATGAAAAGTCAGCTAATATTCTCTCCCAGCAAAATGACAAGTGGCATCTCCAGCATGGTTCAGGGAAGACAAGTCCGAAGGCAACACAGCATCCGACTAACCCAGCCCTCAGGGTAGGGATCACAGGATTATGAGAGTGTGCTGAGTCGGAGAGAGGGTACTTTTAGAGGCCAGGGTTCTGTTGGTTTAGGAAAGCTGATGAAAGAGGCCAGGTGGAGCCTGTCCCACACTTCTATGTGTACTGCACACGCCGTGCTTTATTTAAGTGTCAAATGAAGGGAGACAACCACTAGAAGTTTACTTTTATGGTGTGGCCAAGTATGACAGCATAAATACAATGAAATTAATTTTTAAACTGTATTTTTGGTCCACTCATTATCACCGACACTTGTACTGTGTCCCAAGCACAACAGGGAGCGAGAAAGACATGAGCTCCACACAGGACTTCCACTCCCATGCGAGCAGCATGTGTGTGCACACGTTACATGCACACTGGTGGACAAAAGGGGGCTGCCTTGGCCACATTTAAACAAACTTCTATGAGCAAGTCCTGAAAAGATGTGCCGTTCACTACAGACATTTTATCTGCCTCGAAATGAGCTCCAACCCCACTCCAGGCAAAAGCCCGGCAAGCTGACTTCACACGATGTCTACCTTGTCCCGGGAAGGACCTGGCTGGAGGAGGGGAGAGCTGTGCTGCGGCCTGGGGCAGCGTCTAAGATTGTAAAATTATACTATTGGCTGACTGTCAGAAACAGATACTCCATTAACTAGTTGAAATGAAACTAATTTTGTTTTCTTCTTGCTTCTTTATTTTTCTGAGGCAAGGTCCAGCCTGACCTTGAACCCACTGAATGTGCAGCCCAGGCTGGCCTTCAACTCACAGTGAGCCCCCAGGTGCAGGCACCACCACATCCAGCCTCTTTTTGCCTCTTTAAGCATTTTACTCCCTTCAAACCTCAGCCAAACTCTGTCTCCTCTTTCACCATCTTTCTACTAAATACAGTATTTCCTGAAGTATCTGCTCAGAATGATACATAGTAGCCACTCAAAACAGCAACTGTGCTGCCTTCTTTCTTCTTTTTAATTTTTATTTTTTGGGTACTAGGGATCAAATTCAGGTCCTTGCGCTTGTAAGGCAGGTGCCAGAATCACTGAGCTAAATCCCTGGCCCATTTTTATTGATTTTTTTTTTTTTTTTTTTGGTACTGCGGATTGAACTCCAGTCTTTGTACTTGCAAGGCAGGCCGCAGAACCGCTGAGCTAAATCCCCAGCCCTTTACTGATTTTTTGATATGATCTTTATGTGGTTCAGGCTCGCGTGACTCAGTGGTCCTCCTGCCTCAGCCTATTGAGTGCTGGGACTACATGTGTATGACCACTCCCAGCAGTAGCTGTATTTTCTTAAATGTTTTTGCACTTCTGGGGATCAAACCCTGGGTTCCCCACATGCCAAGGATATAATCCTATCACTAAGCCATCCCCCTAGCTCTTCTTTCTTTAGTATTTTTTTTAAATTACATTTTCCACTACCATTTTCTACCTAGAAAACATATACTGTTGGGGAACAATCTTCAGATGCTGAACATGCTTAGTAGCTACTGCCAGCTCCAAAATACTCAATTAAGTTATATATTAAATAATAGTGATTAGTTAGTTATGTGCCAAAATTAGTATTTCATCAAGGAACTGGTGCAACTGGGAAAGAACAAAAGAGCAAGCCCTAAATGTTCAGAGAAATTTTTTTTTTAGGATCTCAAATTTAGAAAAAAAAATGTACTAATCATAGCTTAAGTTTTTTGTTTTTTGTTTGGTGCCAGGAATTGAACTCAGGACCTTGAGCTTGTTAGACAGGAGCTGTATCTGAAGTACTTTTATTTTATTTATTTATTTTGGTGCTGGGGATCAAACTCAGGCCCTTTTACTTGTGAGGCAGGCAGCAGAACCACTGAGCTAAATCCCCAGCCCTGATGTATTTTTAAAACAAAAAAAAGCCTGACATTCCCTTCATTTGTACAGTTAACCATGGGGGTTCGTGGGACACCAGACATGATACACTTACACTACTGACTGTTCAAATTCAGTGTTCCACTTCGAGCTCTAAGAATAGCTCACACTTTGGGAGATGGGGGGGTGGTAGGTGGGAAACCAGATAAAGAATCCAAAATAATTTGTCCTAATTCTGTATTGTTCAGGGAAAAAAAAAGAAAAAAGAAGTTTTATCATTGAACGTAACAGCTGTAAACAATGACGTTGTATATACAATGTTCATTTGTTGTATATACTGACAGTTTGTACCTGGAGACACGAGCAGTGGTTAATTTGTTATACCCTGTAATTATAAATGAGGCAATCATGAAATTACAGGATCCACTTAATTGCTAAAACTGGGGAAAGTTAGCCAACTCTTAGGCTCTCTTCTGTAATGACAAATCTCATTCTTTGATGGTTTGACATGCCTTTTTCATTTCAATTCTAGCTACTTTTCTGTGTAAATATTTATGTTTTTATTCATTTGTAGAGATAAACTTAACCTTTAAATGGACAGCTCATGTATAAACGATTAATAAAAAAAAAAACACTTGTAAAAATCTGTTTAGCCTGAGGTTAAAAAAAACTGCGAATGTAGTAAGTGTGAAATGTGACTGGCAATCTCGGATCAAATAATTATACTTCTTTAACAATGTAACAATGTAAAAATCAACTGAAAAATTTTGCAGATCAAATTTTACTGATGGGGGCAGCCCAATCTGGGGGCCCCTTCCGTCTCTCTCAGAAACTATCTTCCCCTCGTTTCCTACTTTCTTGTTTTTTTTGAGACACTATGTAGCCCAGGCTGGTCTCGAACTCACAGCAATCCTCCTGCCTCAGCTTCCCGAGTGCTGGGATTACAGTCATGTGCCACCATGCCCGGCTCGTTTCCTACTCTTAAAAAAATTTACTGATTGGCTATCTGACCAAAGGTAATGTATTTTTTTCCTCCTGGAGATTAAGCTTTTTCTTGCTTTACGAACCAACAGAGGTGGTTCAACATTTTTAAGTCAAAAAGGAAGGGACCAAGAGGCAGGGTGTCGAAGTAACTGTAACTGGCTCTCTGCAGTTTGTAAACCAACCAACCTGCTCTAAATGCTTTCAGATCAATTTTTCCTTGACTAACTCTAAAATGACTCAATTTCATTTTACTCCCACCACCTAACTGCACACACATAAAATCTGGAATTGGATGTCGGCGTTCAAATGTTTTAAATTTGGGTAGACTCTGCAGCTGACTGGGAAAAAGCTTGCCCCAAATTAATCCCACTCTCCAGTTTTAACTCCTTATTCTTTTAAATTTGTGGATCTTCGACTGGAATTAAGACCCTTGGCCCTGGTGCGGTCACTTGCAAAACGGGCTCGCAACAGGTTTTGAAAAAAACACTAGGGACTAAACGGCTAATTCGTCTCTACCGACACGGATTAAGTAAGAAAGGAAACTCGGTCATCATCTACAACCAGCCCTCTGAGAGCGCCCTGCAGATAAAGAACTCAGCAGTGCAGAAGGGCACGTTCCTGGCAGCCGGCGGGAAAGATCGCCAGGCGGGGCCTGTCTCTTCCCGGGCGGCCCGGCCCGGCTCCTGGACCTGCTCCTCTCCCCTGGCCGG